AATTTCCCCACATATAATTTTTAATCGTGATTAAAGTTTAGATAAGTGGCCAAATAGGTTTTATTTTAGCTGTAAGCTGCTTTTGGGATACAACAATTTCCGCAGTTAACATAGATCTAGACAGGAAATCACACACAGTTTCTGTGTAAAATCCCCAGTCCATCTAACCATCTGTAACGCGAGGAAATATGGGTTTTCTGTCACAAAGGTGGTGTTGGACTCAGCTGGGTCAAGAGCTGGGTCGCTGAGAACTTTCACCCACAGATTGAGACCTTTACAGACATGAAGTCTGCAAGAGTCTGCTGGAAACCATAACATCTGCCACCTGCAGCTTCTGTTGCTTGTCCAGAGTCGAATCATGGGAGCAGTAGCCTAAAGCCCTGCGTACACTGTGCGACTTTTTCACTTTTTGGAGCCGATTTTCCACTCGTGCGAGAATCCACGAGATCGGGGCGAGTTTTGCGCCGAGCTGTCGTGTAGTGTACAGGGGGTTACAAGAGGCGATTAACACCATGTGACCAGCTACCGATGAGCAATCGTGAGCTCGCACGGACTTCTGGCGTGTTTAATATTTCGCTCGTCCCTCATGAGGGTATCGCACTGTTGAAGCGGCGCTGCGAGCAGCTGCGACCCAAAAAGTATCAGAACCGCTCACGGCGCATGCGCAATCCTGCATCAACACCGCTCGCTCCGCTGTTTCCCTAATAACACACGTTGTTCGTTTTAATTTCTACACATTTTTTTTACTCACAAAGATTGTCAAGAAAGCGTGTTTGTCGTGTTCATGTCAAATTAAACTGATCACAAAACACAGATTTACTTTCTTTATTTTGTTTTCCTCATCCAACCCCATGAATCCCTGTGTGTCCCCCTGCAGCACTCCCGAAGGACAACAGGCAAAACAAGACAAAAAAGTCTGACGTGTTGTGTAAAAACTGCTATTTTTAGCATATTTTTTAGGGCCGACGTGTTTCTACCAGATGTACAGTGTGAGCAGCCAGATCGCATCTGAGAACTGGGTCGTACAGTGTGAGCGCATGACTCCTGAGATCTGCTCTGCGAGGAAGTCGTACAGTTTGAGCTGAAGTGGAGTGCCATGAGTGAAAAAGTTGCACAGTGTCTGCCCAGCTTAAGCCAAGAGGCCCAGACTTCCCTCTCCTTAGCTACTTGGTCCAGCTCCTCTGGGAGAGTCCCAAGGCATTCCCTGGGCCAGCTGAGAAACAGTCCCTCCAGTGTGGCCTGGCCATTAGGTCAGTGTTTCTCAACTCTGGTCCTCAGTGCCCTCCTGTCCTGCATGTTTTCCATGTCTCTGCTACAGCACACCTGGTTCACGTATTTGCATTGTCTCCTTAGGATGACATCAAGTGCTGCAGAATTCTGTTAATCATTCATTCATTTAAATCCGGTGTGGGGCAGCAGAGAAACAATGCTGTTGAAAACTGCAACATAGAAAACATGCAGGGCAGGGAGGCGCTGAGGACCAGGGTTGAGAAACTCTGTTTTAGTTCTTCTCCTGGTTGGTGCCCGGAAAATCTCACCAGGCAGGCGTCCAGGAGGCATCCTAGCCAGATGCCCGAGCCACCTCAACTGGCTCCTCTCGATGTGCCCTGGGTCTACTATCTCTAAGGGAGAGCCCAGCCATCCTGTGGAGAAAAATTGTGTCAGCCACTTGTATCCGCAATCTCATTCTTTTGGTCACTACCCAAAGCTCATGACTATAGGTGATAGGAATGTAGATCGATTCGTAAATCGAAAGCTTTGCCTTCCAACTCAGCTCTCTCTTCACCATGCCAGACCGGCACAACACCCGCATCACTGCAGACGCAGCACCAATCCGCCTGTTGATCTAACGCTTCATCATTCTCTCAGTTGTGAACAAGACCCTGAGATCCTTAAACTCCTCCACTTGAGGCAGGACCTCATCCCTGACCTGTAGAAGGCATTCTACCCTTTTCCGATTCAAGACCATGGTCTAAGATTTAGAGGAGCTGATTCTCATCCCAGCTGCTTCACACTCGGCTGCGAATCGCTACAATGAAATCTAGAGATCACTGTCTGATGAAGTCAACAGGACCACATCATCTGCAGAAAGCAGAGACTCAATTATTGGGCTCCAAAACAGACCCGCTCACCATCTTGGCTGCATCTAGAAATCCTTTCCATAAACGTTATGAATAGAATCGGTAATAAACGGCAGCCTTGGAGGAGTCCAACTATCACCGGAAACGAGCCCAACTTACTCACTAGTGATTTTCTGAATAAAAGACAAATTGCATGGATGCTATTTTATATCTATGTAGGTTACATCAGTAAAAGTGACCTAATGGCTTATTTACTCCTGGCATTGTTCCAGAAATGCAAAGATGTGTTTTTATGTCTTTAATCCTGGCAGTGGAGAGGAACATCATTATATCTGATATCAAACTGAAATCAAACATTTCCTTCATTTTCATCTAATAGCAGATGGCATAACAAACCACGACCTTTGAAGTCTCGAGAGATTTTGTGATCTCAGGAGTCCAGCCAGGAGGATGGCAGAAAAGCCACTCCATGACTGAGATTTTCCCGGTGTGTACCGCCACGCAGAGAAAGTCACGAAACCGTGACTTTCGCTGTTCCACGATGTTGATGCTTCCAGTGTGTAGTAGGGGGTTAGGGTTTGTTGCCGTTCTAAAACTCCTATCAATTAATAAAATATTTTACAGCTGAAAACTTTCAAAAATGCTTTCAGATGTGTCTCTTTAGTATCACACCTTTCATCACCATCCTCCTATAGTTTCAAACATTAGATCTGACCTAGGTGGAGTGCTATGCCTCTGCTGCAATCAAATCGTCAGCTATTGGCTCAAATGTCAGAAGTGCCACCCCTTATGCTTGTGTATAACTCAAACCAATTGTGGTGCAGTTTTTTGTTGATTGACGCATCAAATAGCCAATGAAATTTGGAAAACAACAAAATCTCATGTGAACACCTCATAGTTTCCATCTGCAAACTAAGACTGATTGTTATATGTGGATCGCAGAGTGTGTGTCAGGCCCTTAAGTATCTAAATGTTACCTGTGCAAATTGTCAGGACTGACTAATATCGCTTGAAAAATGTTCAAATATCTCCCAATCTTCATTTCCATTTCTATATATATAATTTACGTGAAATGTAAAAAATGTGCAGAGCTAGCTAGCTGTGGCACCTCTGAACAGAATTGTATTGAATCTGTCGCAATAAGCTTATAATGACAATACTAACATTGTTCTTGAAGTTTTTAAAATATTAAATGAAAGATTTTTCCCAGACAGCAGTAGCAGGAATAAGTTTTTGATCTCACCGTGTCTGGACAAGCTTTTATGTTTATGTTTATGTGCTTAGCAGACGCTTTTACCCAAAGCGACTTACAATTATTATTATTATTATTTTACCTATAGGGCATGTTGTGAGCTTTTAGCAGCTTGGTGTTAGCTTGTGAATCTGCTCAGAACTCCACACGGGAAAAACTACATGACAAATGAGATCATTATTTCTTCAAAAGACCCCTTTATCTAGCATGCTAATCAGTTAATTTACCAGAAATCAGATGAGCTTTCTATAAAAATCCTTAAGCCTCATTAGAAATCTGTCTCGTAATCTTAATTAAAACTGTATCGGATTTAGGTCTTAGGTCTGACCTTCTCTACACATTCTTTTAAAAATCAAGTCCCATGTTGAATTAAATATCTGTTTTCGTGTTTATTTATTATTATGTTTATGTATTTAGCAGACATTTTACCCAAAGCGGCAGTGGAAAATCCTAACATGTAATTTGATGAGATTTGTTTAAGAGTTAAACAGTTTCCTCTATTTTTCCACAGTGATATAAATACTTCCACTTACTATAAATGTCATTTTAGGAAGAACACATCCAAAACTGACTTGCTAAACAGCTCTAAATTAGCACAGAATATGCTGAGCGAGATCCAAGAAGAAAAACCCAGTGCAGCAGCTAAATCAGTTGTTACAGCTACATCTGCATTCATTGTGTTTTTGTCTCATTTAGCACATTCAGAGACATTGTCTGGCAGTATTTGATATTTTAAATATTTGCACTTTATCAGGGTTCATTTGTCTTCTCTTATCTGGAGCTCAATCCTGCCCCTTAGGGTGCTTCTCCTCTAAAGGAACCCAAGCTCAGAGAGATTTCCCCACGTTATAATCAAAAGACTCTTCTTATGATTCATAGTCCTTTTTCTTTCTTCGTACATTTTCTCTTACTTCTCGGAATGCACACCAAAAAATCTGCCCGAGCTCGGCAAGATACGGTCTATTTAAAACTCTGACCACCCCTGTCAGAAAACCAATTATTAGTGAGGGTTTCATTTTAATTTAAATAAGATTACATTACAGTGACACGGAAGGAGGGCACTGTCTGGACAGAGAGAACACAAGTGCTCCATTTTATCTGTTTCCCTGGCACAGGGATTGTAGGACAAGACTGTAACTGCATGAAGAGGAGCTGTGTGAGTGTGTCAGACGGGTGGGGGTTGGGGTGGGGAACTGTCACTGACAACTAAACAAGTAGGGAAAGTGTACTGTGCTGTATGGATGCACATGCATGTAACCGGGAAGAGGAGAACAATTACAGCAATGCTTCAGGCCAGAATCAATACAAAAGACCTGTGCAAAGCAGCATGGGTGGCATAAAGCTGCATGATGTGTCATTTTTCACTTTTTTCTTTACTGATCCATTGGAGCCGGTTTCTGTTTCCATTTTGAAGCCACCGCAGGTTGAGCAACTACAGAGAGTCATGCCAAAGCAGTTCTAATGACTGGGGTTGGCAAGTTTATTCTAAAATGCAAAGGTTACATGCAAGCAGTTTTACAATGCATTTGCATCATGTGTCTCCTCCTGAAAGAGGGATTTTGAGCGACACCAAAAGTGCACCATGTATTAATTGTCTTTCCTTCCTCCTCTGTCTCTTCACACCATTCTCTTGCCTCCCTCCTGCCATCCGACCTTGAACAAACCAGCGGATGAATTGGGGATCGAGTTCATGGGTGAGACAACTTTCTTCTTTTTGTTTCCATACTCCATCTCCTTTGCAGAGGTCTCAATCTTTCATGTGCCTCCCATCTGTAAAGTGCCTCATACAAAACACACAACCCAGCACAACAAGGCTGCTCACCTTGGAAAATTAATGTGGGCTAGTTGCCATGGAAACACTATGTGGGTGAATTAGGTGTGTTGTGTCTGCATGACGGATAGTACTGTTAGAGAAGAGTGATTTAATGAGTGTGGGGCTAAGACAAACGGCAGCAGTCCTTGTTTACTTCCCTTCTGTGTGTTTGCCGAGTCACTTAAGCAGCAATTTCTGAAAAACAAGAGACTGTCTGCTTGTGTTTTGAACACTGGGACTGACAAAAGAATTCAGAGAGCTAAAAAGTAAACAGTGGAGTTAAAAGCATTAAATATACAAAGAAGAAATCCTTGATTTATTTAGCACTACTCTTGTACCTCCCAGGCAAACACACCTTAAAAACAAATCACCATACCTTCTTTCGACAAATGTCCTCAATGCTCTGGGACCAAAACAGATAAACCATGGATGAGTTTCTAAAAAGTGCTATAAAGGTAAAAAAAAAATCTTAACTTTTTCTCACCTTTGAGCTTTAAGAGTAGGTTCTCAGAGTAACTGCTTTTAATGTTATTTTTTTAAATAATATACTCACACGCAGGCTGAACGTAGTCTCCTACCTCTATTTTCTGCATTAGCAGTCAATAAAAGAAGACGAAACAATCGGGTGAGGAAAAAGGTACACAGATCTACTCCTCAGGGTAACATAGTAATTATGAACTCACCAATCTTGACTCACAATGGGCATCCGGTGTCCAGCAGAGCATGTGTCGGCCAGTAGAAGCTAACTGTTAGCATTAGAAACTCCACAAAGTGGCAGAACACATGTTGTGTTATTTGTGGAGATAAAAAGATCAACGGTGCAGAGCAAATGGAGGCAATGGAAGAGTTGCTTTGCTGTTAGCCAATCAGAGGTGAGATGTCCAAATACAAACTTTTTGTATAATAAAAAAGTGTATTATATACATCTACTATATTACACCTTTTTTTAAATTGTACAAAAAGTTTGTATCAGGAAAAAACACTGACCCAAACAACTCCCTGCAGAAAACCCCAGAGACAATCCTTATGCATCTACAACGCTTAAATATTTTCAGCATCTTTTACATTTCTCAGAATAATAAATGTTTTTATGATTTTCACAATTCACTGTGTTCTAACGCATCATGTCAACTAAGCTGGTTTCCCTAGCCTGCCAAACCATCCTACTTATGTGAATATATAGTCTGGCCATGACCCATATAGCTTCATGGGGCGGAATCTATGGTCGTCTCTCAAACTGTCTCCACATGCTATTGGACATGGAACAACGTGACGTTCTCACCACTACAAATGTCAGTCAACAAGGCAGTCCACTATACTCTGTCGAAGAAGACACAAATACGTTATTTTCATAAATAAAGGAGTTAAAGGTCAACTTTACTCATGTTTTAATACATTTGCAGTGGCCTCTGGTAGTAATCAGTACCTTGTATGTGGTTTTCTGGGGAAAAAAGCTCTGGTGTACCTGTTTGTAGACATACAAGTCAGCTGGAGGAGAAATTAGATTGATAACAGCCAGGATTTGGAGTCTTATTTCCTGACATTCAAACATTCCACGCATGATTGGATAACAACAACGTGACTGCCACTGGCTCAGCGGTTTTGTGTGATACGCTTGTCAGCCACTAGATGGTGTCATCAGATAAGAGAAATACTCCGGAAAGAAGCTTTAAACTCAGAGGGACTGATCATTTAAAAAAATACTGAGTAAAAATTGTTTTTCAGTGAACCTGCCCTTTATCTGCTTGACTCAAACAAAAACTTAAGTCCACAATACTGCTCAGGCCACTGGTAGACCTGCTGAGGCTCCTGTGAAGCGTGACTGGACATTTAGTACTACTCACTGTCTAGATCTCTAGGCTGGTTTCCCTCCACTTAAAGCTGAAATCGGGAGTTTTCTCAGAGAGCCGCTCTCACTTCTTCTGTGATCATGGTTGGAAGCAACAATATTGATGCAACAGAATTCTAATAGGATGAATTAGAGAACCCAGTCAAGTCCAGGGAAAGCCCGCACACAAACTCTCTCTCTCTCTCTCTCTCTCTCTCTCTCTCTCTCTCTCTCTCTCTCACACACACACACACACACACACACACACACACACACACACACACACACACACACACACACACACACACACACACACACACACACATACACACACACACACACACACACACACACACACACACACACTTGCTTCCAGGAAATAGATGGTGGCAGGAAAAGATGCTCAGGAAGAGAAGTCGGCACACGACACAACATTCCTCAGTTCAGTGATTTTAATCTGGCAACTAAATGAGTTCAGAAAGCTGCTGCAGGTGAGCGGACGCATTACAGGAAAAAAAAAAAGAACAGGATTGATCGATTGGTAGCAGGGCGCATGGAAGCCATAAAGGAAAGATGGATGTTTTTTGCCTCTTTGCACTCCTGATTATTCATTGTGTTCTATTATAAATTTCCTTGTGCTTGATCAATAAATCTTTTAATAGTTGTTATATAAGTCCCAAATGTGACAGCTAGTCAGAATAAAGCAGAGCCATATTTGATGTAGGATTGAGTGCTCAGAAAATGATTTCCTTGCACTTCTTAGTCCAACAGCTTAAGCTTGGCATGTCTGACTAGTTCACTCTGATGTATTTCAGGCTGAATAGCCCATTTTGTCATGGATACTTTAGCATGGTCTTCATTATAGGACTTTATCCCAGTCTAAATGCAGAGCAGTTGTTATGATATTGCAGGCCATGCGGGACTGTCTTGTCTTCATGTTAGTCTAACATGTTTTAGCCAGTACAGCTGGCTGTTACTTTCTTCTGTTTCCTAACATGCTCTTGCATCTAATTTCAAGAGTGCCTGGTAGGCACCCAGCATGACAAGCCTGTAACGGCTTTATGTACAGGCTGCAGATCAGTTTTTTTTTTACTCCTTGCAGCTATTCAGCACAGCTTTGTAGACAGCTGTTTTTATGTTCAGATTTTTTGGGGGGAAAGAAAAAGCCTATTACAGCCATCAAAAAAAGGTCTCAGGTGCACTCCACATGAACACTGATGATTCAGCAGCAGAAAAAGATATTCCCCATGTTTCAAAGATCCAGCAGCTGAGAGGTTGTTTCCCTGAGAGAGGACAGGAGGTTTACTGCCATGCTCCTATGCAAAGGCCACACCGGTTCCAGTTGGTTTTGTTGCTTTACTGGAGCTTAAAAAATATTTCAGCCATCTGAAGTATTATTTTGTGTAAAAATAATAATAATTACAATGTTCTCAGTTTGACAAAATGTTTTACATCCAGAACTAATAAGCCAATGTCTAATCTGAGCACAATGAATTACTGCATTTGAAAGTGGATAGTATGTCTAAACCATCAGTTAAACCCTTACTTTTGCTGTTTTGCATTACAAGGTTATTCATATGAAATTCTACAGTGCATCCATGGGTCCCCCTGACAGGCATTTGCCAAATAACCACACTTTATGTCAGTGTACAGGTCTATTTAAAGGTGTGGTTGAGTGGTAAAAAAACATTTTTAATGATCATTTCTGATTATAATGAGTCGCTCTGAGTTTTTCATGCAGGCTGAACATCAAAACAGTCTTCTACACCTATCTCCTGCGTTAGCTTCTAATAGAAAACAGACTGTGAAATGCTATAAATTGTAAATCCTCACACTGTGATGTCACACTGTGAATTTGCAATCATTGCCTTGTCCATCTTGGCTTGCGTCTGCTCAGAGGAATGCTTTTTAAAAATGTATTTGCAGCAAGTAGTGAGAGTGGCAAGTGTGTTGGTGATAGTGGCTTTGCAACATGGCTGAATGTGTTCTGTTAGCCAATCAGAAGCTAGGTGTGTGCACGTAATTAATAATAGTGAACAATCCTGATGTTTTCAGCCCTCCTCTGCACCAGCAAACGTCTGCATCTCAGAACAGGAGCATCATAGCTTTATACTTTTTAATGACTAATAAGGCATTGATATACTCTAGAGAACACTGCGTTTACGGCCCCCAGCTCGTCTAAGAGATGACGTTGTTAGGGAGCGTAAAGAAATGTAGTTGTGAACAGGAACAAACCAAGATTCACTCTCTTAAAGGAGTTTATTTAACTAAAAGTCACTGCTTTATGCAGGTAAAAGGATAAAATGATACAAAACAAGAGACATCCAAAACTGGGGATTAAACAACAATAATAATGTTGAACACAAAGCGCCGGGGATAAAAACCGGGTAAGGAATGAGCTGGATTAACACAAAAAGCTCCACCAAAAGGATGAGCTAGATCTCTCTTGAACGAGGATGCTGAAGAAATACCAAACAAGCTCTAGAAACTAGGAAGTGATTATCGATACCCCTCAGGTAAGCAAAGCAAGACTTTAACGTCAGTATGAGGAGGGAAAGAGGAGAGCAGACTCTACAGCTTGTTCTCTTCTGAACTCCCCCCCCCTGTATCATCAGACGCACCCTTTTGACAGGGAGCCTCACTGATTGAAAGCAATTCCACCTGGCTCTGCTAGAGCCAGAAGAGTAGGTAGGGACGCTGAGGGCACCTAGTGGCCACAAAACAGACGGTGTCTGTTACAACTGCAAATGGTATTGAATAAACAAGTAAACCACACCTTTAAAGTCTGTATGACTATTTTTGTGAAAATGTGGGAAGTTGAGTTGTTTAGGCGCAAAAGTTCTACATTTTTTTATTAAAAAATAAAATGAAATAACAAACGATAAGGGTATGTAAGTAAAATCATTACATGCTTGCTGTACTTTTCTGGGTTTTATGGGTTGATTTGCACTTCTTGGATTTGAATTTATTTTAGTTAATTATCAGAAACAGGAACATATTAAGAGCCATTCATTCTTCAGAGATGCATGTCGCATTTAGTCAAGTTCTCAGAATACAGTTAAACCCTTTTTATAAAACAAAAACCATATTTCAGTTGCAGTTTAGGGTGAGGCATTACACTACTTGAAATCGTAACACAAAATGTTGTTCAACTATTGATTTACAGCACAAGCGTTTTACCAGTAGACTACCAGATTTGTAGTTGAGGGCTTCGGAGAGTGACTTGAGGGCTGTATTTTGGACACCCTGATGAAGACCACTAATCCGTAATTAGAAAGACGAATCATTATTACACTACCTTAAGCTATCTTAATTTTTCACCTCATTCTAAACAAAATAATCCAAAAGTCCATCAAAGTGCCGTAAGCATCAGCCAATTAGATATCAGGCCAATTGTGTTTCTAGAACATTGCTAGCTAGTGGACTATGATTCAGCTGCACAGCATGCTAGATCCATGCAATCCAATATTTACAATTTTACACAGAAAAACACCAACAATTCCATTCAAATACATTAATCGTGTTATAAATACGTACTGTAAATTTTCTCCTCCACTCTACTCTCTCTGAAGTCCATTGATGCAGCACAGTGATGCCATGCAGAGGGAGAGATTTACAAAAAAGTGTTGAAAACACAGCTGCTTGCTCACCAGTGATAGCTGTGAACAAAGGAAGCTATCCAGCAGTTTCTGTTGGAGAAAGATGATAAACCAGGGCAGATGAAGACCTCCCAGGACAGTTCTGTGTTGACAACATCAAAAGCCACAGATGAGCCCTGAAAGGTCGTGAACTTGCTGCTGCTTTTTTTTCTCTTTTTTTCTCTCTTTGGCACCTTTTGTCTGCGGTTGTCAATGTGTTGAGTTCAGCCTTGGAAGTTTTATTCGTTGTGATTTCTCACCTAAAAAGTGTCTAAAGTCATGAGATGCATGGAAAACAAGAAACCCCTTCAACACTCAGCAGCAAGACAATATCGCAGAGAGATCTTCTGATAAGTCACTGCGCGCACCAGTTTCCTGTCCTGCACCACGCGCTACAGTGAGCAGTGTTGTACAACAATCCAGCCGCCCAGTGGCTCACACACATATCAGCTGAGATCAACTGCTACTTGTCCCAACTGCTTTTGACCTTAAGCCTCTGCCGCTGATGTGAAGAGGTCTGACAAAAAGCTCCTGGAGCATTCATTTGCCACTAATTCCCTGTCGCCATCAGTCTCCGAATGCTCAAAACACTTATACATGTTACACACACTTGCTGTGTTGCCTGCTGGGTTTGTCTGAACGAAATGATTATCACACTTCAGTTAGCACATGTCACTGAGCCCTGCCATGTCCCTATACCATGCTCCGACACTGACTTTTACTGACAGCAACATCGGTTTCCTCATACAATGTGGGTGGATGTGTGTGTTGCCACTGTTTGAGTGTATGGTAGCATTAATTCCAAATGCTTTTTCAAAATCACAACCACCATTGACAACCTTTTGCAGTACATTGAAAATGCATTGTCCTAAATTGCATTCTCTTCTTTGCAGAGAGTGGTGACACCTACCAGAGGCAGGTGCTGTCCATCTTCAGTATCGCCTCGGGGATCTGTCTACTTGGAGTGGCATGCATGGCTCTCTACCGCCGCAACAAGTGAGTGATTCCGGCTCAGAGCCGCATTAGCACAGCACACACCAAACTATGCAGAAAGAGCACTTTACTATCATGGCACAGAGCCCAAAGAAAGTGTGAGTCAGCTAACGGATTTTTTAGTTAGGCATCAAGTCTAAATTGTGTGGGATGCATTTGGGACAGATACTCATGTAAAATTTATTCGTAAAGTGGTTTTAGCAAGCAGTTGTGTCACAAATGCTTCACACAAAACTAAATATATAGACACGGTATCAGCTCTGGCACTGTCAGAAACACTAGAGCATTGAATGTGTGCATCTGTGAGGATAGAGAGGGGAAAGAAGGGCACAGTTCAGCACAAAACAGACCACCACAGATAATGACTTATTTGCGAGGCAGGAAGAAGGAAAACTAATATAGACAAAGGAAAGTAATCAAAGGGAGGAAAAGGGGGAGTTAATGGAGGCTGTGTCAACTGAATTGGTCTTTATAAACAAAAATGTTGGGTGTTTCTTCAGCACTTGCTGTGCTCGTAGTGGTACAGTGCTTATCGGTCAATGTGACCAAAGACTTAGTGGGAGATTTAATGTACTGCAAATTATTTGAATCTGCATATCTTAGTGAATTGACTTTTTTCCTCCCGTAACTGCTTCTTGGCTCTGCAACTCAGGCAAATAGATTCTCCTGGTAATAGTGAAGCTTATTCTGTCTGCCAGCAAAAAACTGGGTAATTTTATTTGCAACAGATTTCCACAGACACAACACTTAGCCACGATCATTGTTCCACTCATTATATTGTTTTTGCTTCATTTTAAATAGAACCATGCAGAGAAATAAATGCTGTAACATCCTCTGCTTTGTTTCTGAAGAAATATGATTATGATTATCAGTCAGGCATTAATATTGTTGCCTGCATCTGTGTGTCCTTGACTGTAGTGTTAGGAAAAAAGTCAGGAATCACTGGACACATTTTAGTGAAATTCTCAGAGGTACGGTGTCAATTTTAGGTAATCCTCAGGTGTCAGGTGTCAGGCTGACCACAGAGAACAAACATCATATTTCACTCAAAAACCAATCAGACTATACTGAGTAAATATGTAGAAAAAAATAACAAAAAATTACATATATATATATATATATATATATATATATATATATATAGATAGATAGATAATTACAATAAATATAATATAGTAATATATGTATATGTGTATATATATATATATATATATATATATAATAAAAAAGTCAGTCAGACAAAAAACTTCAGACAAAATTTTTTTTCCTGACACATTTCCCTGAAACATTCTTTTGTCTGAAGTTTTTCCTGATATATTTTAGCCTGAATGACTTTTCCCAAGACTTTTAAGTCGGATGGAGTTTTTCCTGAGTCCTTTTTGTCTGACACTATTTAGTCAGAAGTCTGATGGGTTTAGTCAAAGCTGAGACCATTTTCTCTATGGTCTAATGTCTGAAACCTAAGACCCGAGAATGTCCTAAAATTTTCATCGTACATAGGGTAAGATTTTGGATGAGTGTCACTTGTCATCTGATCTGAGAAATCAGCATATTTCATAAAGAGAATCTTTACAAAAACTACAAGGAAAAAAGAGCATAGAATTAAACTAAAAAGCCAACATCACCAGTGACTCTTTGTTTTTATTTTCTCCGCTAATACATATGTCCGCACCATCATACTTCCAATCAAGTGATTAAAATAAGTGCCCCTCCAGTTTCTTTTCAAAAAGCAATTCTACAGACTCTGGATTATTTCTTGACATTTGCCAAAACACTTTTTCTTTCCATAAAATAATATCACAAGAGTGTGTAATGGATGTTTAATGGTCCACTGCCTTGATTTAATTCTCACTTGTGCAAGACATTTTTCCTCTAATATATATATATATATATATATATATATATATATATATATATATATATATATATATACATATACATATAATCATTCAGCAAATGTCATATCATGTCATTTGAAAAATTTTTAACTGTCAAAAGACTTTTTAGTCAGTAGCATGATAACAAGATCTCATGGCTTTGTTTATAAATAGCATGAACTTGAGGCAGTCTCTCTACTGTTTGTTACCCTTTTCACTTGGGATTTTACAGCATTAAGTGACGTGCAGAAATGTTGAAGTTTGGACAAATATTCAAAATTTGAGTAACCATGGTGCTTTAGATTTTATTTTAGGAAATCTGATTCCATTTACTTTGCATACTTACTACATGACAGTAGTTGAAAAGATGGTGGACTTCCTTTTCTCAGTGGCTACTTATAATATGATCAGAAGAGTGAATAATCAGTGAATCATCAATGAAGATGGAAGCATTATTGTGCAACTCTTATTTGACTCTTATTCTTTTTTGTTAGACAGAAACAGTAGTGTAACTGTACTCTTAGCACTTTCTCCATGCATGTCCTGTCTTCCACAGAATACACAGAGAGAAGCTCCAGGCTCATTTTTCTGACAGCCAAAGCTTGAGAGACTGCAGCATCAACGCCTCCGGCCTCGTGTCCAAGTCTCCTCCCAGGATTCAATACAGCCTTCATCTCCAAAAAGTACGTCTTTCAGCAAGGATCGATTTTATTTCCACTCGCTTCTTAATCATAATTATCACCATCTCATCTTTATATAAACAGTACTTACATACAATGGAGAGTGCAAAGTCCCTGACAGGATGATCTATGATGTATGTCCAAATAATCTCTCCTCTGGCTGAAGCCCATTGTTCAGATGTTTATCTGACATGGGATGATGAGGCAGTGGGGAATAAATGCACCATGTATTATACAGGAAAGATCTACTTGTCTCATTCACAAGGACGGATTACTACAAACTATGGATTAGGTGTTTAAAGTCCCCAAAAGCGACAACATTTCTGATTCAAAGATGCTTTTACAAATCAAATTATATGTTTTATTGGAGCAAAGGTGCAAAAGGAATCAGAACCTGCAAAAAAATAAAAATAAAATAAAAATTATATATATACATATGTATATAAAGTTAAATATTGGTTTGAAATTCTTTGGAGGGAAGAAAGGACATCTTTTTCATCAGATAACAAAACTATTCACTGCCTAGGGTGCTCGGATAGAAGAAAAGTGGCTTAGCACAAATTATAAATCATCACTTTACTTCAGAGGAGAGACCTGACCTCCAAAATGTACACAGAGAATGTAGATGGCTCAGATAAGGCTGACATCTCCACTGAAAGGTAATTGCTCTCTAATGCACATTTGCAAAGATCTCATCAAAAGAGTTCAATCAGTCGGATAATGCATTAGCACTTTCTTGAATTCTCCCTTTCGTTATTTATTGTAGCTTCTGCCTTTCTTTCCGTCATAAACAAAATGTATTTTTTGTTTATTTCTCTTTAAATTGACTCAGCGTTTCCCTCACCTGGTATATTTACGCTACAGTGCACCTTCTCCTTCTAGATTCTCAATAGGAGATTTCTTGCTAAAATGAATAAATCTTTCACATCCGCTACAATTTGCAGGACTCACGTTTAAATATTTATGAGTAAGGTAGTGCAGAGTTTACTGATAACAAATAAGACGGCATGAATTTTCTTTTTTTATTTTGTCCCTCTACACAAGCGTTTATGCCTGCTTGATAATCGGTGAGGTTTTTTTCCGTACACAGAGGTATTTGTTGTAAGAAATTCCATATTCATACTCAACCTTGTTCTGTCATTTCTTCGCTTTAGCCTGCAACGAGGCTGTTTAATAATTTAACAATGTCTATGGTGTCACCCACTGAAAATAAGAGCCCTGGAGCCATAGTAACTCCACCCACAATACTGCAGATGGTGAAAGTGAAAGCTTTTTGAAAATGTCATTTTAAATCAGGGTTCTGAGCAGCTAAGAGGTACATAACATACATATGTGACATATTGACAAAAATAATAAAAATGTATAAATAAGTTCCTGAAAAACCATATAATGAAAATCAGACATTGCTTTTTAATCACTGGTTTGGGGTGAAAGTCGCCAATGCTGTTTGGAATCAGGGTGTGTACCATATTGAACATGGACCTCAGAGTTGTCCCAGGAGATTAGAAAGACTATTATTGACCAGCATGTTAAAATTAAAGGCTAGAAGGCTGTCTCCAAGCAGCTTCATGTTACAGTCTGCCCCCCTAAAAACAAAGATGGAATAATATGAATGGTAACCAGAATCCAAAACAACTTCCAAAGACATTAGAGGTGAACTGCAAGGTCAATGTTTGCTGATGTCAGATCACACCGTCCGTTGCTGTTTAAGCAAAATGGGCTTCATAACAGATGACATAGAAGGACACCATTGTTTAAAGCAAATCATGTAGACATGAAACAAGTCATTGCATAAAATCAAATCCAGTCAAATGTATGTATATGGTACAAAAACCAATTACAACTAGAAATGATATTGTCTGACTCCTACTTCCCGATACCGATACATGCCAATACCAATATATGATGTGCCCCCCCCCCTACAACCAAAGCACTGTACAATAAAAAATGTGCAATGGACATCAAATAAGAAAGAGAGAAAGATAAACAGATTAAAACAGTAAAATAAGAATAAAAATTGATCAAAACATATCTAAATAAATAAAACCATAAAAGTAAAAGATTAAAACTTCACATTCTGTCATGGGCCATTGTGAGTTAAAGAAACAAGGTTTAAAAACCAAAATACAGGGATGCCTGTCTTATATAAAGGCAGCTTGTTTCAGCATTCAGGGTCCAAAAGAAAAATTATTTTCTGGAAGAATGTTTTTCAGACTGATGAGTTCAAACTGGAGCTTTTTGCTTCATGTGCACAGCCACATAAATAATAAAGCATAAAAAAGAACACTGGGCACACTGGCAACAGTCTGGATCAGCTTTGCTGTGTTTGCTCAGGGTGATTTAAATCTGTTCAGGGTCCGATGGAATCTCCAGACTATCGGGACATTCTTGAGTGAAATGTGCAGCCCAGTGTCAGAAAGCTTGGTCTCGATCGCAGGTCATGGGGTCCTCCAGCAGGATTATGGCCCAAAACACACAGCTATAAACACCCTAGAGTGGCTTAGAACCAAACACTGGATGGTTCCGTGAGCCCTTATCTAAGTCACATCAGCAGAAAGAGCTAAAACAAGCAGTCTAGAGATGGAACCCTACACCCTAGAAACAACTGGAACTGCCTGTTTTAAGAGGAGAAAACATATGGAGCTCTGTCATTTTAGTTCACATAAGTTACATTAGATTTGGTTTTCAGTTGATATGTATTTCAAAAGCAATGTCTGATTTCTTTGTTGATTTTTAGTATTTTACTTTTGACTTTTTGAGTTATTTCAGAGTCCATTGAGGGGTTTTCCTTCTTCAACAGTAAGGGACCTATAATTCAATCCACATCTGTAAAAAACTGTTTAAATTGGACAGAGTGCACTCATTTTTTACTTTCAAATGCCCCAAAACTCCTTTTCTCAAGATATCTAAGCTTTTCCTAGCCTGGCCTGCCAGACTCGCCCTCTGTCTATTCTACACGATACTATAGGCAGAGAGAACCACAAGGGGTGAGACTAGCTAGCTCAAAAATAACCAATCAGTAAAAAGGCGGGAATGCCGACTGTATGGGGCAATGCTGTAGTTTTTTAGCTGTAGTCAAAAATGGTGTCTGGCGATGGCGTAAAAATCTTTCTTTAGAAGAAAGGTCTTTAGCACTTGTTGTGCTTTTAGAGACATGTCCAAGTCATTTAGAACTGAGGAAAGAGCTGCAGCAAACTCTGCTTCAGACTCCATCTTTGTGTGTGACGTACGCTGCTCAGCGCTGATTGGCTTGGTCAAAATTCTCAAGGGGTGGGGATATTTGAATGGGAGTGTGACAAGACCCTTTGCTTCCCAAAGGGAGACATGGGCATGGCTGGTTAAGCTTTTCTGTGACACGAGGCCCCAACTAGTGATGCCTTCAATACTGAAATAGTGGGATTGCATTGACACAACTGAATCAGAATGGTGGTGAATCCTTGTTTTCCCATGCTGGACACAGGGAGGAAATCAGGAGAAAGGTAAAGCCAAAAACAAAAGACAATAACAATGCAGCAACACAAGACTCACAAGCTATTTTTAAACAGTGTGAGGGAAGCTTAAGGAGGGATGTCAAAGATCATGGGCTATAAGTACCCAGGAGGAGGCACGAGCTGAACACAGGAAGAAAAGCTTAAGAAGAGAAAGCCATTTTTCTACAGATTTGACACAATGACCCCAGACCACTGCTTCTTACCTCCCACTCCCACAGCTTAAAACCATCCAAGGAGAGAACATGAGCTGTGGGTGGTTCAGTCCTTCAAGTTTCTCTGTTTCTTCTTTTAAGTTCCACGAACAAAATGAAGAAATTTCAACAAACAGCAACGCGGCGGTGTGTTCTTAGAGAGGCTCAGAAGCATTTTGGTGTATCTGAGCATCCGAACACAATGGGATTTGTGTGTGTGTGTGTGTACATTTTAGGCTCTTGGTGGGGAATGAGATCAGTGAGCAGGAAACAAAAGGCTGGCTTCATCAAAGCAGGGCAGAGGAAAGACTGAAACCAAAGTCCATTTCCGTCTTTGTCTTCTATTCCACCTCTGTGATGAAGTGATGCGCTGCTCCATTTTTCTTTTATGTCCCCAAAAATATGTCACCTCATGAACCCAGGTGTTTTTGGCTAAAGTTCTTTCCTCTCAGGGTTTGTTGCATAACAAAAACCCTTACAGTACACCATAGAACCTTGACATGACTTTGACATAAAAATTGCTGGGCAATGCTCCAAGTCTGAGACAACTGAGAGGTAACTACACTCTGAGGTTTTCTGAAAATAAGCACCATCGTCAGCATTGAGTTTTTGCATGGGTCTGCACACCCAAACTGTCATGGGTTTACTTTAAATAAACAAGGTGAAAACTTTTGGAGTTTGCAAAGGCTCTTTGGTTGGGGAATTGGATTTAAATGAGTTCACAACATTGGTGAAGCCCAAAGATTAACTTGCAGCATTGGCAACCAAGTGGGTTCCTAAATATCTGTCAAACTCAGATGATTTCTCATCCTGCGTTATTTATGAATATGTTATTTTTTGTCGTGAAGTAGATGCTGAATCGAAAGGAATGACTGCTTCCTGGGATGACTCCTTCTATGTTCCTAACATTTTTTTGTCTTGAGACATGAATGGTGACCAAAAGAACAAGACTGTGAACCTCGGTGACTGGCATAGGGTGTCTGGGCTCACCCCTACAAGTGCTCACTGATCCAGGGAGAGCTCAAAGTAGAGATGTCAGTTGAGGTGGTTTATAGATCTGACTAGCACGGCCTCTGGTTGCTTTCCATTGGGAGGAAACCCCCAGGGTAATCCCAGAAGCTGTTAAATAGATGATTTATTTCTTTCCTGGGAATGTCTTGACAACCCTGGATCTGTTTCTTCTGCAACCTGACCTAATGAAAAAATTCTAAATGACAATTTCTGGTAGGAAAGACAGATTATTCTCAATAGCTGGCACCAAAGGTAGTACCATCTGGCTCTGACCCACTGGAAGAAAAGACCTTCCCAACTAAATAAGAGATGAGTAAAACAAAAATGACTAGTCCAGATTTATTCTACAAAGTGACCGAGTCACCTCCAGGAGAGAGGATGGTGCATGAATACTTCATGGAGAGAGGCAAAGGTTGAAGCCCCACAGAAGAGCCTTGTGCAGACATATAAATTCAGAATATTTTAGCTGCATGAATTCCAGGTGTTTTCTCTCAAACATTAGTCAAATTTTAAAGTTCTTTCAAATCACCGGTTTTGAATTAACAAATGGATGAACAAACTATCAAATGAAAGTTAATTTCTGTACAAAAATATCCATCCATGCATCCATTTTCATCCACTTAGAGTGTAAGCCGAGAGGCTCAGACTTCCCTCTCCCCAACTCCTCCGGGGAAATACCAAGGCGTTTTCTGGCCAGCTAGGAGACATAGTCCATCCTGGATCTCCCTGTGGGTCTCCCCCCAGTTGGATGTACCCAGAAAACCTCACCAGGGTGGCATCCAGGAGGCATCCTAACCGGGTGCCCGAGCCATCTCAACTGGCTCTTCTCAATGTGGAGGAGCAGCAGGTCTACTCTGAGCCCCTCCTGGATGACCAAGCTTCTCACCCTATCTCTAAGTGAGAGCCCAGACACCCTGTGAAGAAAACTAATTTTTAGCCGCTAGTATCTTGTTTTTTCATTCACTACCGAAAGCTCATTACCATAGATGAGGACTGGAACATAAATCATCCCAGTCACCAGTCTTACAGCAACGTAACAGCTCATGTCAAGGAGCCTGGTACCCCATACTTCCAGAGTACCCCCCACAGGGCCCCCCAAGGGACACGGTCAAACACTTTCACCAAATCCACAAAACTCATGTGGATTGGTTGGGCAAACTCCCACAAACCCCTAAGGGCATAGAGCTCATTCAGCATTCCACGGCCAGGAGGAAAACCACATTGACTACGTTTACATGCAGCCAATATCCGGGTTATGATCGGGTTAAGGTCGGTATTCGGGTTTCTGAGTTGATCAGAATAACCCGTTTACACGCATAAATAGGAAGAGTTACCCCTAACTTGCATAACCAGATTTAAATGAGGACGTTGGGGTAGCGTCAAGACGTATGGACTACATCCAGACGCAATATGCCTCATTTCCGGTTCTTCTTGTTCCGGTATCCGTGAAAACAACAACATGTTTCCCAGTTCGGAAGAGATAGCGACCGCGTTTGTTTGTGCTTAAGTTTCTTCGTCACTCCAAAAGTGTGGTGCTGTGCCGTGACTCGCCATTTTGCTCCCAACTTGTTGTTTACTTCTGGTGTTCTGGCGCATACAAGACGTCTCGCTACTCAAAAGACCAAGATTCCTTGCGAACAGAGCATGCGCAGAACACACGCTTTGATGGGGATATCCCAATATGCGTTTACACGACCAAACATTTGGGTTAGAAAAGGGTTACCCCAGGTGTAGTAACCGGGTTTTTAAAAACCCGGTTATGAGCATATCCGGGTTTTTGGCGGTGTTTACAAGGACCTGCGGAACCAGGTTATTGTGAATATTCGGGTTTTAAAAGGGTTACTGGCTGCATGTAAACGCACTGACTGCTTCTCCTGAATTTGAGGTTAAACTACAAAACAAAATACTTATTTCAGAGTGTAGGTAGAAGCAAAAGCTGATAATGTACACCTACCATCTTTTACATCACTTAGATTTTACATACTTTTCTGTGATTTTCACATTAATCTCTCATCAGTAATATCTCTTAGAATTTTAATTCCAGTTACAATTTCAGCATCATTTATTGGTAAGTTTTCATTTGAATTTCTGTGCTAATTTCCAAGTATAATGCACTTAGTTTTACCAAGATTAAGTGACAATTTATTTGAGACAAACCACTGATTACATTTCCGTGATTCCAAAGCTGTCCCAAGCGATCCCCACTGCTCAACACTGTCATATCATCAGCAAATGAAATTCAACAGAAAACCAAACAAATGTTAATAATAAATGAAAAACAGAAATGAACTAAGGACTGAGCCTTGTGGCACTCCACGTGCAGCCTTCAGAAAACACACTGACACTTGGTTTTCAGAAATCAGCCTTAAAAACTGCAAAGGTGCCTGATGATGAGAGAGTACTACTGAGATGATCAAAATTAAAAAAGGTATTGTGACTTTATTTTAAGTTTGACTTGATAAAGACTCAAATTTATCGGATTGCTATGATTAATCAAACATTTATTTGTAAGTCAAAAGATGACAAAACAAATCCATAAAATAAACATACCAGTAATTTTGTGAATCAAGGACATTTTTCACCAAAAACAAAAAAGACTGAAACATGTGGGAATGTGTGAAGCTTAAAGAATCTGGCTTTATCCTAGCAGTCTCTTCAGAAGTGATGCACCAACTAAAACAAAGAGTTTTTCCAACATTACATGATTAAGAAAAGCCAAAAGCATTGCAACTGAATAATGTGGCTAACAGCCTCCGTGTGCATGTCGGTGCATATTTTTGAAAGAAATTATTAACATTTTGATAACAGGCAAAGTCAGATTTGTGTTTTCCATCAGCATTAGTCACATCTTGGCCAAGAGAGCTGACACATGCTCATTCTTTCCCTGTAAACCACATCTTGTGACACTTGGTGCTGCAGGCCCAGTGACTGTTCCTGCAGCAGAATGGACAAATATCCTGTTATGCACAGTTCGGGACCTGTGATTTGATAGTAATCCAGGAAGGATTATGGCTGCTCTGAATGCATAGGTTTGTCTGCTCCTTATTACTGCTGATATTCACTGTGTTGATGGATTTCGCTGTTACTCTTTCAAGCTCTTGCATCCCCCCCCTTTGTCTCCCCTTCAAATAAGTCCACATTGTTTATCAAATATTCTCACAAGTGGCACAGAAAAATAAAAAAAACTCAAGAAGGGAAGAAAAGGCCTGATAGCAGGGTAGAAACAAAATGGGTTACGGCATGCAAGTCTGCCATTTTCTGCCACCAGCTATTTATTTCATCCCCTGACATAGATATCATCCTGCGGGAAACTTTGCTGTGGCAATTGTCTCAGAAAGTGAAGCATTCTCCACCCGCAGGGTATATGAGAGGGTGGCCAAAATTATACTGTTTTTCTGCAACAGCAGTAACAGCTCCCTGTGGGAGTTGGTGGTGTGAAGGGGAGAAGGGAAGAAGAAGGGGAGGCTTATCGGGAACCAGAGCCCCTGAACCAGCTCTAAGTCACATGCTGCAGCTTTAATGACGCACAATCAGACAGCGATAGAGGCCAGCCCAGGATGTACTGTAATGGGAATAACAGAATTATCTCAAGACTTAGTGTTTCGCAGGAGGGCTTCTCAGGGCATTCATGACTGCAGTGCCAGAGCTCTGTCTGTGGCCTGTTATAAGATAACACTGTTAATTCTGATAAGAATAAATTGAAATAATTAAAGGGTGGGGGGTGGATTTTTTTAGGAAGCCATTAATGTAATCTGGTGTTGGATTAATTCCTGAGTGGAGCAGAAGAGCTCTGAGGGGGCCAGCTTGCGGTTTATTCACAGAGTGCCCCCACCTTCTAATCTGCAGTTTAAAATGTAAAACATAATTAAAGACACTTTGCCTGAGTGTGTGTGTGTGTGTGTGTGTGTGTGTGTGTGTGTGTGTGTGTGTGTGTGTGTGTGTGTGTGTGTGTGTGTGTGTGTGTGTGTGTGTGTGTTGGGGGGTACAGCAGCAAAACCTCCCTAACCTGACGAGGGGATTGCAGCTCAGACTCAGTCATTAATGTTACATAATACATCCTTTAGTTTAGTTTAGTTTAGTTTATTTGTCATATGCAAGTTAGCACAGGGTCAACATTGCAATGAAATGTGTTTGACGAGCAGCTGTCTCTCAGCAGCATAATACAATAGAAAAAAAGAACAAGGTATAATACAGTAAAAGCAAAATATTAGAGAGTCATGCTAAAAGTAAAAGCTTACTAAATAGATAAGTAAGTATAGATGACTAAATATAAATATATCTAAAAAAAAATCCTGAGTGTATTTCCACATGTTTTGTGTGCTCTCCTTTTCTACAGGGCTGCAGTTCCCATGGATCGTCTCTTAAAGGCAGCAATGTGACGCCAGGCACAGTCATGGAAGCCCCCGTTCTCAGCAAAGCTCTCTCTAAAGGGAAATGCTTCAGGTGAGAATATCTGACTTATTGTTATTGCCAGTTCATATCTTCCTCAGCACCTATAAGAGGCAGCCAACTGAGAACTTTCATCAGCCTGCAATATGACATCGTAAATGGGCTTCCAAATAATAAACAGATCATTTGTTAAAGAAGAAACAACTCAGGAGGATTTATGGGGTTTGTAATGAGAGCTGCCGAGCTCCAAATTCATTCTTTTGGTGACGTCTTTTCATGGGAGGTGAACTGGTTCTGTTAGTTTGATGGGTGTAATATTAGAGGACGTTAAAATAACTTCAGATGCTTGACTTCATAAAACGATTCTGAGCTAACCAGTTGCAACCGCTTAAAGGAAACAGAGAAATCCTTCAAGGAGAAGAGACGCTTCGAGCAAAATTTGTCCCCCTGTCATCCCTCCAGTAGCGAAGGATTCAACCAAATTGACAACGTTTTGCTATGAGGGACGTCAGAGTCGGCTGCACTTTGTGATCGCAGTAGGCAAAACTGAATGCTGTCATTTTATGGCCTCATGGGAGCACAGGTCTGTGGGTACACAGTCAGCTACAGCAGCCTCATCAGTGAAAAACCTTAATGATGAGCTCAGACACATTTTTTAGATTACAAACTCAATCACACCAAACATTTTAGAGCTATTTTCACAAGAATTAAACCAATTGATGAAAACAGTTTTGTGACTTGTAAAAGGTCAGCCTGTAGAAGATGTGATGGAGTTGTGCAGCACTGACTGAAATTCTAGATAACAGAGCTTTAGCAGCGCCATATAATCACACACAATCAGAAGGTCAGGCTTTCACACGTTTATGTAAACCCCATTTTTGCCAGTTTTCTGTGTTTTGAACTGAGGATGTGGAGAATGGAATCTGCAGTGATTAAAGGAAGCCATGCCCAGGGAGACAGGGCTGTGTGTGTGTAGGCAGAGCCAGGATTTTACAGGTCTGAAGACAATTATGGCAACTTTTAGTGAAAGCCCCACTGTGGCAGCTGTTGTGCTCCTTTTTAATGGATCGCTACCTTGTCAGAGAGGAAACTTTTTTCAAAAAGGTTGTTCCCCCGCCCCCTACCGTGACATTTTTTTTTCTTTATTCTCCTCGGTGGTAAGCAGGTGTCTCATGAAGGGCAGCTGACAGTCAATCATCTGCTCAGATGGTTCTCGAAGCATGTGGAGGCAGGGGAGAGAATGAGACTGATGGACGATGTTGAAATGCTTTCAGCTATTGACCTGAAAACTGGACCACATTGTGAACCATCAGGAGAAATGCCCCCCCTCCCCATCTCCTAAAAACTTGTCAATATGGCCCATCAATAACACACCAAATGTTTACCTGTGTGTCAGGGGCTTATCACTGGGCATGGGCATGTGCAGATGGTGGCACTTGTTTGAATGCAGACTCCATCTGTTCAACTCTGAATTTGTCTAAACAATGTAAACATTGGTAGAAAAAAGAAAAATGGCCTCCGCTTTGCCCAAAACAACTGCAGCAGACCAGTGTTGAACACATATTACAGCACCAGTAGGTTTGTGAGAGGCTTTAGTGATGATTGATGTTGATTTCATAAGCTGCAGTTCAATCTGGAGGCACACAGAAAAATATGCCAATTGATAGATTAATTATTGGCTCAGGGATTATAAAATTATGGATTATTATTAGAGTCATTATTGAATCATTGAGACATTTTTAATTATTGGGGAAATTGATCCTCCTATTGATAAGTTCCCGAGCGCAGCCACTGCGGCAGCTCAGCGCTCCCCATGGGGATGGGTCAAATGCAGAGATTAATTTCACCAGTGTGTAATAACTAATGGGACCTTAACTTTATTCATTAGCTGGCCCAGTGAACAGATGGACAATCAGTTATTTTGTAGGCCAGTTACTGCTGACCTAGGGGTTAACCAGCTGATAAAATAATTCATATTCATCTATTTATTGATTCATTTTTGGGCCAGATGATCATCCCAACAATTAATCGGCTCATAGATTAATTAATCAGCCACTTGTTTATTCACTGATTCAATCACCCCAGTGATTAAACCACTCTTTAATTAACCTATTATTGTTGATTTATTGATTACTGACTAGGCCAATAAATTATCCCAGTCAACCCAAAATTATTTGTTTGGCCATTTATCATTGACCAGAGGATCAGTAAGCCAACATAGTAATCAACTGGTCAGTCTAGTGATTAACTTTCAATTATTGTTCAATTATTCGTCTCATCTATTGATTGGTCTTCTAATTGATTATTCATTGGTTCATGTATAAATTATCAGTTTATTAATTATTCTTGGGCCAGCTAATTTTCCTTGTGATTAATCGCTTTATTGATATTGTAAAAAAGTATTTCCTCATCAGTTATTTGATATATTGCATCATATTAGCTGCCCTGATTTTTAATGATTGTCATCAACCATAGAACCAATTCAAGTCAACTTGTAAATTGTTTAAATTTGAGGTCAGCATCTGCAGCTTTTAATGACTTTTCTTTGTATTTACTTTAAATGTTACTCAAGCTCTCCTCTGGTATGCCAACATTATTTAAAGGGGACATAGATGTAATAATAATGCAAAACTCACACTTGCATCCTTTTGTGCTGATGGGTCTCTACTGCTTTTATAAACACTCCACACATGAAATAAATCTGCACATCCATTTTCTGTCAGTGTTTGGTTTGAGGGATTATTTGCATGGTTAAATCTGGGTCCGCTTGGTCTGGGCTGGGTGGGGTAACTTCTTCCATCTATTTTATCCGTGCTGAGTTTGGCCCTGCTCCTCATGCCTACCTACTAGTGGGGTCCTGTGACTAGTGAGTAGAATCAGCCAGTGGGTGCTTCCTGAATGCATGATTCATTATCAATCTGGATGCTGTAGGGTAAACATCTTCTTTGAGGGTGAGAACTCTTGGATGAGTAAGGAGCCCATGACAGCACTGCTTCTCAGTGAGAAAAGTAGGAAGCTGTGTGCGTCATGTCAGAGTCTCCAAAAGCAACACTGCTGATTTAAGAAGGACTCCATGGACTTCTACATGTCTATTTTGCCATGCCCACATGCTTGGAGGCATCTGTGTTCCTTAGAAGGCAGTGCAAACAAAACCTGACCACTCGCTGATGGGCTGTCCTCACTCGGCCTAGTCTGAACTGACCCAGATGTAAATGGCCTAAATGTGTCTAAAACAAGCCACTTCAAAAAGTCCCCATTTGTGACATCACAAACTTCAATTAGGAAAGAACCACCTCTAGCGTGCATGAGAGAGCTGATGCTGGAGGAACAGCGCCTCCACTCCGAATCCCTCCTGGATATTGGAGCTTCTCAGATTATAGCAGCTTGAAAGGTGGGTGAGTGGGTGAGGCCAGCTTCCTCTTATTTTGTTAAAGTGACAGAGCCCTGAAACAGCTCATTCTGGAAGGTGTCCAGAATAAAGCTGCGGAATAGGCTTTGTGTGAGAAAGGTTTGGTGCAAAACACTTCATAAACATGTTTAGTATCCACCACAGGACTATTAAAACTTAAAAAAAAGTTGGATGTTCCCTTTAACCTCCTTCTAAAGTCTGGTTAAATGTCTGAACTAAATATTAGCACCAAGACATTTTACTGCCAATCACCAGAGTCTACCTAACAATGGTAACGTCTGATCAGTCAGAGACAGAGTGAGGGAATTCCCTCTGTGATAAACGTTCCTTCCAGTCACAGTGTGATTTGTCTTTTAGGGTTAACGTGTTTCTGAGAAAGAGCTTTACACCTGATGTCCGGGAATTCAAACACTAGTACCCTTCCCTCCTTTTTGCCCTTCATGCCTGACTTGTTGACTTGTTTCAATTAGACACACTAGTATAAAAGAGTGCTGGCTTACCCAGCGAAGAGCAGCGATTCACTTGATGCAGTGACAAGCCCATCTTTGAAGGCACAAGCCATTGGAAATAATGGATTACAAACTGCAGCTTTGTCATTAAAGTGTTGTTTTCTAGGGTCTCCACTTCTTCCATTGCCTTTCATATCAGTTTGATCTGAGTAAAATAATCCCTGTAATAGTTTATTTTGGATGGATTATGAGGAAAGTTTCTGGCAAAATATAATAATGTCATCAAAAGACTAAAATTCAGTTTTGTTTTTCAAACTTTATTTTGATGTGGCAGAATTTATTCAACTATTATCATATCATGTAGTTGAATTATCTAAAGTAAATTGGTTAGTGGGGTAACCAATAGCTTAAATCAGACAGTGAGTCTGAGTTTTACTCACACTGAGAAGGAAACATAGTATCTGTAGTGCACATCAGGAGTCCTATTCAGTGTGGGAGAATCCCGCTGACACTGAGGGGATCAGTGTTTTTGCCATTTACGTTTTTTTACTCAGTTCTGGTCCTTTGTCAACACGGCTTGCCCTCAGTCTGCCTGCCGTCTCTGCTCCTCTTCAATCAGCTCAGGAAAGAAAAAGAGAAACCAGTTCAATTTGGTTCCAGTTTATCATCGGAGGCTGCGATGTTTGGAGACAAGCCTCTGGCTTTCTGTATGAATCCAGTAAAGTTTAACATTAAGTCATTAAATCATCCATGTCTTATTGTTCTGCAACATTTTCGGCTGTGTTCATAGCTGAAAGAGAACCGACATAATTCAGCTCCTTTAAAACATCAGTTGATATCACGATGCCAGCAGAGAATGGAGCAGTCTTTAATCATGCGTTTTTGTTCTGCAGCTATCGCCACGAGAAAATTATCCTCACAGTGTCCAAGTCAAATATCTAATAAGAATAAATCCACACTTTGGTTAAAAAATAAAAATAAAAGAAGTCCAGTTTAAGAACACGCCAAACATTTGAATCAAGCATTCATGCTTGAAAAGTTCAACATTTTACAGCAATTTGGAGCCAAAACCAAGTTGTGAAACAAACTAGGGGTAGATGTAAGCATTTATATATATATATATATATATATATATATATATATATATATATATATATATATATATATATATATATATATATATATATGTATATATATATATACACTACCTGTCAAAAGTTTTAGATTTTCAATCTTTATAATTGATTGTTCAATTTTTCCAGTTATTTATTGCAGTTTAAGTCATTCAAGTGCAATAAATAGCTTGAAATGGTACAAAGTTAAGTGGTGGACTGCCAGAGGTTAAAAAAAGGTAAGTTACTCAAAACTGAAAAATTATGTACATTTCTGAATTATACAAAAAGGCCTTCTTCAGGAAACACAGCTGCTCTGCAGCAATGGGCATTGATCAAGACTTGAAAGCTGGGCAGCAGCTGCAGAATTTAAATTAAATGTGAATTTACGTTCTTGAATAACATCTGCATAAAAATACATTAATAATTATTTTCAGTTAAGCTTCTTTTAGTTACCATTCTTTAATTTTTAATACTTTGTTAGTTAACTCATTTGTTTGATTAACTTTAGTTAGATGTATAATTTAGACCTGACTAGTTCACAGTTAAGATTTAACAGTTGGTTACATTCAGATTTCAAAAACTGATTCAGCTTCAGAAACCTGGTGCATCTATTGATGTTATTAGTGATATTTTAGTATGAAAATGAGGTGGTAAACATCTAAGCATCTGCCATGAAAATCGGCCCAAGAAAATTGGCATCACATATTGGCCAGCTGACCATGACCTCTACATATCGACATTGTATAAGCTATTGTAAAAACTACAATTGGTCGACCTTTGAAGCAAAAATTATGTACAGATTTTTTTTTGTTACCTGCATCATCAAATGACTTTTTGATATCTGCAGAAACAGAAAAATGTGCAAATGCATCTCTAAAATATTGAAAGTATATGAGAATTATTTAGATCCATGTGTTATGGAGTCTCACATGCAAAGCAGCTGTTTGTTCCTCCCACATGTGCTCACCTCAGCTTGTAATACAGATTGTAGGATAACTTTGATTCACATTTGATGTCATCACTTTATGGCTGCAGACACCCAGGGATCCGCTTTGAAGCAGACCACCGACTGGGCTAGGAAAAAAATTAGGAAGAGCGTGTCTAGAAAGAAGAGGCTGTGGTTTTCATTATCTGACAGCAGCGGGATATATGGGTCACTTTTGTGTTCCAGCATGGAATGAAGCAAATATGGCTCCAAAGTCGCTGAAAGGAATGCTTTAGCCATGCTTTGCTTCTATCGTCTGCATAATCTGTGATTGCTGTTTAGCTGTGGGAGTTGCTTTTTTAGATGTAAATGGGACACAGTCGGTTAAACTGTCACTGTTAGAGGATCATCTTAAGGTAGTCGGTCACAGACAGAAAACCCCGCCAGCAGAATTATAGATGCCTAACAGAGAATGTCAAGGTGCATTAAAAGGTCAAACCTGAGCAAACATAGTCAGTGCACAAAAATGGTTGCAGTTACCAAAAATTCTGTAAAATCACTCAAAAGTTAGTGATTGTAGTATTGTTTCATGAAATGGGTTTTTAAAAAGTTAAAAAATTTCACTTTTAGATCCAAGTAGAAAAAAATTTTCAAATTTCCAAGAGATAGGTCTTTTTTTATTATTTAAATCCACAAAAATCTGTTTGAATCTGTAACAAATTTAACTCAGAAGAAAGTTTGCAGTCATGCTAAAACAACAAAAGCCCCCACCAGGTTTTACATGTTACAACATAGAAAAAAAATTCCCTCTCTATGACATTTTAAGAATTCTAGAATCCAACCTGTACAAACAAACAGCATCAGATTGTATTGTCATTCTTTACTAAACAACCAACATGGAACATCTGACAAGTGTGAGTTTTGGAAATTTGCTGTGGATCACACACTTGTGTGTGTTCACAAGAGGAATGACATCGGCTGTTGCATCCAATCAATCTGGAATTGTGTTTTATAACCTTTACCAATGTATTTGGAGTCTGAATCCTTAGAAATATCATTTTTACCTGTGAATCCTTTGGGACAGCTGTTAAGCTTCCCAGGAGAAAACGTTCCAGAAGGTTCAAGGACAAACCATGAAATGCTTAAAAAAACTGACAAAAACTAAAGATGTCCATCCCATATTACACGTTAGTGGGTTAATGCAAAGGTTCATGATCCAAGTAGGTTTGCATCAAATGTTCTCAAATATGCACCTGTTCAAACCACAAGACTTCTGGAACAAAGACCTTTGGACAGATGAGACCAGAGATGTTTACAGAGAGAGCCAAACAGCATATTAGACCAAACAGCTGGTACCAGCCGTAAGCACGGTGGTGAAGGCTGATGATGTGGGCTCAGCCTTTCTTACGGTTAATTGTTTACAGTCATTAAACAGATCAGGCATCCTAAACAAAGCAGTAAATCTACAGAAAAGAACAATAATCAAGTCAGTCAACCCAGTTCTCTACCAGATTGAAAAGTTGAAGTGGGACCTTGGGAGGGCTGTGTAGGAATAAACGTCTGGAAAGAACTCCAACAAAGTTGTAAAGAAACGTAGGTCAAAATTCCTCAACAATGATGTGAGAGACTGTTAAAAAGAAAACATAAAAAATCAAATGATCTTTGCTAAAGGGGGTTCTGCTAACTGGATCATAGGGTGGTATCTGATGTGTTCCGGACACTGGAGGTTAGATTTGAATCATTTTAGTACCAGGTAAGGGCTGGATCATATTTATGGTTTTATCCATAAAACTTATATTTTACCAAGACTTCAACAAACAAGCAAGAGCCCTAAATCTCTGTCAGAGTAAACAAGCATAGAAATGCCTTTAGCCATCCAGGAATAGCTCACGTACCATTTACTTTGATAAGCAAGGGAGACGGAGTGATCGTGCTTCCTGCCGGTGCTGCAAAGCTTCAGTCGGTTTACACTCTTTTTGCTGCTTCATGTTGCAGAAAACGTGAACCTCTCACTGCTATCCTCTATGCTCCCTCTCTGACAGTCTTACTGGGACTCTCAACAAAACTGATCCTTCATTAGTAAAGTCCTGTCCCTATTTTATGCCATGACAAGTAAAACCGTGTGACATGAAAGGGTTTATCTGTATACAGCTAGCGGGAGCTACATGTGTGCCCCGTGTGTCTTATTAATTAAAGCTTTCTGCTTCAGCAGGTTGGCAGAGGGAAGGAATTCAAAGAGAATGCTTGCTTATCTCGGATGGAAATTTGCAAATGCACAGAAACAAACATTTGCATGAAGGAAAATTAAATACACTTAGGTTCTCCGAATGTTGCCCAAAATAAAACAATAATTAATTATCAGTCAACATTACCATTTCGCTTTGAGCACAAAAAACAGCCTCTAGCATGCTTCTAGATGTAGTCCTGTTCTACAATCCTGTTTCTGTGTGCCTCTTTGTTTCAGCCGAGACAAATTATTTAATTCTTACTGCTCACTTGTGAATTATTATTCTTTTTGCATGTTTGATGCAACTGTCACCAGTAGCTATGCTATTCATGCAAAAACTCGGGGAAAAGGGTGTTTGTTTTTCTACATAAATTCTTTTTCTTTTAGTGCAAAAGATTAAATAAATTCAAAATGACAACAGATTTTCATGGTTTTCCCACATATTTTGGTTACAGGAGCAACTTCCTGTCGCTTACTCCGACCCAACAGCGTCGGGAAGCCAACCACTTCAGGACTCCGCCCATTTCTAGAGGCAAACCCAAGCTACCAACCAACCTCATCGATGGATCAAGAGTGGTGGGACATGTCTATAAACACCTGCAGGAGGATGAGTCAACAGATGTGGACTCCATAAGGAGGTATCCTTGATAGGTTTATGGAAGTTCGCTGATGCGGACCTCTGGACTAACCGGGGTTAAGTTATGCCAGCAGAAGTGTAGTTTTGTGAGAGATTAGTTTACGACTCAAATACTTGCTGGTGAAATCAGGGGAAATAAATGAGATGTGCCCTCATTCCGCTGAAACCGACTATTAATTTGAAGAACACTCACTTGATCCTCAGCAGCATTATGAAGCTGTGGGAGGAGATGGGCACGTGTCTAATCCCTCTCACCAAAACTGTTTTTCTACGAGATTTTTAAAAAGGGTCAAGGAAACAAACAACAGTGCCAAAGCTAATTACTAAGTGATGCACAGGTTCATATTCACTTCCAGCTGTGTGGAGCGGCTCAGATGTGGCTGAAGCGTTTCACTTCATGTGTCGATGTGGTCATTTATTTCTCTAATTTTGGCGCTAAGCGTAAAGTTGCATTGGATGGCTGTAAAACAGCAGGCTGCAGAGGATTAACTTCAGCCATCTTAAATTTTCCCCCTTTCTGGCTTCCGAAGAAAGGCGGAGAGATGACCTATTTTTATAAGTTAAAGGCACTGGCACCATTTCAGGTGGCATTAAAAACAAAGAGAGCTTTTGGCACGTCGGTGAGCTATCTGGAGACCTAAACAGATTTTTTCCAGTATAGTCTGATCATCTTCCCTGGCAGCAATTCAAAAAGGAGAGAAGTCTCTGACACGATTGTTATCAAAGAGGAGATGCTCGTCCAGTGGCTCCTCAAGGAGACCGTTTGAGTTCAGCCACCAGAATTTTCATCTCCTTCCGGTTCTTTCCTGAGTAGACTAATGCATGCTGTCAAGCAGCTTCTCTGGCACTTTCCTCTTTAATAAAGCAACACTGAAAACATGAAATAATTCCAGGTTTTATTTACAGAAGCAGACAAGGGCATCCTTAAGTCTGAGTAACTCGGCTGCTTAGCATATGACTCAAAAACAGCCTAATTTGCTGTCAGCCAAGTGCAGCTGGAGTGACGGCACTGTTAACAGAAACGTCTGTCATTAAAGCAGCAGCGTCCCACGTGTATTCCACACACACTTAAAAGAGTCTAGCAATGTTCCTATTAGCAAGCCATCCTGACTGAGCATTTCAGCAGCTTGTGAGAAATGCTGCTAGCTGCCAAAACTCTTTATGTGACCTATTTCCATAATTTACATTTTTAAACAAAGCTCAATGGAGCCTGAGAGTTTTTTTTTTATTCATAAAGTTGTTGTGTAGAGAAAAGATCCTCCAGGAGCAGTTTCCCCTCTTAACACACACTCACACATGTGCACGGGTGCTAATACAGATAATGCAGAATAACAAACAAACTAATAAGGGAACTAATGAGGATTCTTTTCCAAGTCACAAAGGAAAAATCTTTAAGCTATAGGCAATTAAACCCTCTACATATTATGCAAGTGTTAAGAGGAGAGGATCTAAAATAATAAGGTGTCTCATGATTGTTGGGGTAAGATTACATTTGTACAATTAAACTGTTTAGATATCATTAGCCATTGATAATTCCCTCCCAGATCCATCGCTCAAATGTGGCTGGCTCCGGCCTTTGGGAGGCTGAAATGACCCATTTCTCCTCTTACAAGCCACACAACGAAAAGCTCACACACCCCTCATTCTCCTCCGGCCCCCACATCTCTCAGGTTGCCATGGATACAACATCTCATTTCTGGAAATGAGAAACGGGGAGGTGAAAAAGGAGAGAGCGAGCGAAGGGGAAAATGAGGACATTCACACACTAAATAAATAAATAAACAACTGGGCCGAGACGATGAGATAGCAAAAAAGCAAAGCTAGTTGCAAAAAATATGGAAAGAAGATCGTAAACAAACATGAGATTACGATTACATGACAACAAATTCCCACAGTCGACTTTATTATCCAGTGTCAAAATATTTACCCATCGGAGAGAGAGAGCGAGAGAGAGCGAGAGAGAAAACCAAAGTCACATTTGCCATGGGAGTTATTTTTAGCCTATTTTTTGTTTTGTTTTTATTTAGATCTGATAGATTTACCTCCAGCTTGCATCGTTTACACCAAGAGAGTGAGGACATAATTCAATTACATAAATTTGGTTATGCCACAAACAGCCTCAGAAGGCCGACGATAATACCGACTGTCTCCCACGGCTGTGTGCCAGAGTAACAATATTAACTCTTGTGCACAAATATTCAACAACTACTTGATAAGTTTCCTCACTCCTTAGACTTTCCCTCCTCTGGGATTCCTCAGCTCCCCTTAACTGAGCCTGATGAGGTTTTCCCGCCCACATGTGAGCTCACATTCACCCCAAATGTTCCATCCTAGGCATTTCACCACCAAAGTGGACTCTGTAAGTCAGATTTAATGAGCCTCATCTCCAAAACTAAAATTAGAACACAGCTCAAAGAGGCAATCCAGTATGTATAACATGTCCATGTGCGTATCTACAGCAGTCAGTGTAAGGAACCCAGCTGTGCTGCTGCTGCTGAAGCTTTAAAACTTTGATAAGACAGACTAAGGCATGAACATTCATCCAGCAACAAACAAGGCTGCTCATGCTGAGAATTATAAATAATTACTCACAGATTATGAAAGAACAATAACTCAATAATTATTTTAAAAAATTTACTGGACTAGATTAAACAAAGGATAAGTCTTTATCTACAGTACATGTTCTGATTTTCTTCTATGTGGTAGATAAGATCCTTGGTGAAAAGGTTGGTCTCTCGTTCTCAACTTGTCAATTCTGTTCTCTCTTTTGTCAAAAAAAAAAGGTGTGATTCTGCCAGCAGAAGGGTCAGCGCCCTCCTCAGCAGGGCCTCTCTCTCCAGTGCTACTGCCAGAAAAGGATGGACCGAGGTCCCTTGCACTCGTCTCGACAAGGGAACGACTTTCCCTCTGACCTCTCTGCGCACCCGCTCAGTGCCCATCATCCCATCGCTCCAAGCATGTGACCCTGAGGCGGAGCCCACGAACACAAATGACCGGAAACAAGCAGGACTCCTGAAGCGACTCAATCCTCTGGTTAGGGAGCAAGAGAGACCCATTGGCAATTCTCCCTCTTGGCCTGAGACTGATGGGTTGGTTAGCGGTGCTTCACCTCGCAGCAATCTCCCCCCTGGATCAAAGAAGGACCTCGCACAGGCTTGCTGCCCTGCCACGTTCACAGCAGAAACTGTGCAAGATTCAAAGCACAAAGGCCCTTCCAGCCCTGGGAAAATGTCTGGATCTCACAGCGAGATCCATCACGGTGGCACAAACACTCTTGAGGCTGAGACTGTGCAGGAGTCAGAGGGGGTCAGTATCCAATATTCAGCCAGAGTTCTGCACACAGGGAGCGAGACCAGAGGTCTGAAGGCAGTGGGCCAAAAAGAAGTCCAGGGACAGTGCCAAGGTCAGACACCTCTCGCAAACGGAGGAGCAAACTGCTTCCTGGCCACCGAAGGCCCCAGCTGCAGAGAAACTGGAAACACTTACACCAAGCCCTCTGCGAGCTGATTGGATTAACTATAAAGCTTCAAAGACACCGTTTCTAATAACTGGATACCTTTGCTGGTGGCTCAGGATGGTTCGGCGGTGGGACCATCTGTGTGGCCACACGGACCAATACCAGATGGCTTTCAATTTTGAAAGGAGATTAACAAATTGAATTATAGAGATGAGAAATAAAAAAATAACAACAAACAAACAAAAGCAACTTGACACAAAAGACATGAAATCACAAAGAGACATTCAAACACACATTGTGCATAAATGTGACTCAATGAGGAAAACAAAGCGTGACTCAAGTGGGAGCTTGGTTTAAAAAAAAAGTTCACTATTTAAAAGGAGCTTCTACTTAGAAACCAAAATAGTGTGTCATCTCTATGTTGTTTCTCTATTGTAAAGAAATGAAATTATATATGTCATACAATATATGTCATATAGGCGTATATATATTTGACATACAATTGTGACAAAATAAAGATTAAGATAACAGTGTTTACAAAGTATTTTTTTGGTCTTCTCTCGATATATACCTGATGACTGAGGATGCATTTCATTCACCATAATTCATGCACGAGTTTCAAACCAGGAACATTTATGTTGAGAAATGACTGTTTTGATCAAATCCAGAAAATAACATTGTATGGGATAATGTTGCAAGATCTTGTGTGATCTATTACTGCTTGGGCTATTTGTTATGAATAATTATCAGCAGTTACCAAACCAATTTTTAGTTCAACAACTGTAAAACTGACTGAGTTTTAACTATTTTTTAAAGGAGTTGTTCACTCGTTTAATCAATACATTTGCTGTGGTCTCTAGTAGAAATAATTTCCTTGTAAGTAGTACTCTGGAGAAAGAAAAACCCAGATTGCCTGTTTATCAATCAGTTTCCCTCTGGGATTAATAATCAATTTCCCTCTGGGATTAATAAAGTATTTTTGAATTGAAGTGAATTGAATTAAGGAACGAGAAGTGAGCCAGATCAGAGTTGAACTTCAGACAGCAGGATTTGGAGTCGTATTTCCTGATATTTGGACATATCTCCATTGATTGGCTAGCAATAACATGACTCTACCACTGACTTCATTTGCTCTGCAACATTGATGTTTTATCTATTACACAAGCCTGGGGGAGTTATGCTGTGTGGTGGAGTTGGTTAGCTTCTACTATAGATGTTCTCTGCTGTTTCCTAGACGTCAAACCAACAACAGCCTTCCCCTCTCAGGAGTCAAAATGTGTGAGTCCATGAATGTTACGTGACAGTGTCATGTCACGCTGTCAGGCTCTTCATATCCTAGAGTTTCACCGTCTATTTTTTATCAGAAGCTTAAGCAGGAGATAGGTGTAGAAGGCTGTTTTCATGTTCAGCCTGCATGCTGAACTTAGAGTGACTGATTATGATGAGAAATAATCATTAATGTGTGTTTTTTTAGTGTTCCACACATGTATTGAACAGATTGATGTGCTGTGACAGCCATCTTGAGTGGGATTGACTTAAAGATAATAATTGTCCAAGATTTTATTTTGAAAACCTGACCAGAAGTTTATTAGACATTTTCTTTAACTGGCCAAAGCTGGCGTACACTGTGCAGTTTTTGGCTCATTTTGAGCCAATTTTACACTTGTTCAATGATCTTTGAGGTTGGTCCAAGTTTTGGATTGCCCAATGTGTAGCATACCAGGGATAACTGTTGTGTCCAGATTTAAATGTTAGGAACGCTCCTGAGATGAAAAAACAACATTGAGTTGGCTCTTCAGCTAACGGCTTCTTTATTTAGAACAAGAGCAGTACATCACCACTTGGGTAAGCATTTTCCTCTTCTAGAACAGTCCTCCCGGGGCCTCTCATGCCCTCTATAGGAATGACGGTGCCACTGCACCCAAATGTAAACACATCAGAGCATTTAATATTCCCAGACACCACAATAACGATAAGCGGTTAACACAACTGTCTCCCAATCAGTAATCGTGTGGTCACAAGAGAATCAAACATAACTGAAATTCTTTTCCACCTTCGTGAGGGTATCGCACCAAAACTACCTGAATCTCTCATACAGCATCTGCACAGTGTCTGCCCAGCCATTTGCCTGTCCATACGTCCCGTTTTCTTTTATAGTTTCCTCTGCACATGATGATAAGGATTGTCCAGGAAGCATTTTAACTCCCTAATTAATTAATTAATTAATTATTAATTAACTAGCTCACTCAAGTGTCTCTGCAATTTTTCTGTGTTTCACACATAAAAAACAGATCTACAAACCTGGGTTTACTTCCTGCATTATTCTACCTCATCTACAACTATGGAAAGCCTCAAGGACAACATTGATCAACAGCAGCTAAACAGTCTACTTATTTCCTGGTATCAATGGTTAACGGTCCAATGTGTTGCATTTTTAGCCTGTTTTAACGTCTGATGTGTTCAGGGCTGGACTGGGACAAAAATTCAGCCCGGGCATTTTGACTGGAGACCGGCCCATCACCTGTTTTTTTTGGAAAAGACATTAAGCCTTACGCTGTTTCTGACACACACCAACGTACACTTTCTTATTGGTAGTATTTATGTATCAATCTAATAAACGTAAACCTACACCATCCTTCCTATCCTGGTATTCTAAAAAGTAGGGTTGGGGGTAACTGATTATTTTTAAAATGATTATTCTGACGATTATTTTATCGAATAGTCGACTATTCTAATGACTATTTAGATGATTAATCTAGCGATTACTTTTCTATTGCACAATTAATAAAAACCAAAAAATTGATAAGTTGTTACTGTAAGAGAATAAACACTACAGGCCTTCCATTTTGTATAACACTGCTTTTATTGTGTTGCGGTTGTTTATGGTCTGGTGACGTGTAGAACTTGGGAGTGCAGGCCGCTGCCTGAGAGGTGGTTGGAGACGGAGTGTCTCCATGCTGCTTTGTTTTGTTCACTTATGTGCATGAGGCAAGTGGTGTTACGACCCTTCCTGGGGAGTCACGTGTTTCTCCTATTTTAACTGTAAATCCTTCTAGCTGTTATATTTATAACAAGAAACAGATATTCGGACAGAATATTTTCATGTTTATTCGAATATGATTGTGGAACACACCCAGCATCATAATACATGAAGTAATATTTATGCCAATTTAAGCCTTTATGGGTGACCAGGACTCTGTGTTTATGAATGTGGAAGACACCCAGCATCCTGTGATGGCACTAATAACATCAAGAGATAATAAATAAGGTAATATTTAGGTCAATTTAACCCTTTACACGTGACCAGGACACTGTAATCAATTTTTGGCAAGGGAAATGATCATTTGTTGCCATTTTTGAGGTGTTTATGAATGTGAAAGACACCGGCATCCTGTGATGGCACCAATAACATCAAGAAATAATAAATAAAGTAATATTTAGGTAAATGTAACCCTTTACAGGTGACCAGGACACTGTAATCAATTTTTGGCAAGGGAAATTATCTTCTTTTTTTTTTTTTTTTTTTGCCATTTTTGGGGTGTTTTTGATGACACAGTAGGCAGTATGAGTACAGTAACATCAACAGATAATACATAAAACCCTTATTTGGTCAATTTTAGCCTCCATGAAAATCTTAGCAATTCAATCACTTTTTGGCAAGTAAAATGCCATTTTAGTTGTCTACAATTAAATCATCAATAAAGAATTTAAAGATATTTTGAGGCATTTCTTATAGGTAAACGGGAGGGTGTAGTTTATTTGGCAAGTGACAATCTTAATTTTATGTGCTGAAGTGCTTTTATCTTGTTACTTTTAAATAGAGCAACGTAATGAATAGCAACCTACACAGTGTCATTGTAAAGCCAAAGCTTGATCATTTTAAATACTTTTTTTCAAGTAAAAATGTGCCCCAAACTAGTTAACTGTGGTTCCATGTCAAGTGGACTAAAGAAAGGAAGGGGAAAAAATTTAATCGCTGGAGAATTGTTTATTTCCATTTATACAACGTTTACATTCAATACAGGGTGCCATTTTACATTATTTATTTTTTTAGTATCAAGGCTGTAACATAAAGAAAGCCAGTTCTTACCACAAAGTTTGTGGCACAAACCATCTTTCAATCGCAAATATTGCAAAAAGGATTAATATATCCTCATTGTGAACGTTTAAGACAAATAGCAACACTTAAAACAACTTCCGAACTGGAAAAACTAATGTGGCAAGGTGCAGAAAGGAGCGCCCGGGCGGGATTTGATCCCCAGACTCCCAGGTGAAAGTCATACGCTCTAACCAGTCAGCCAAAGGGGCACCTCCTTGGCCAAATAGCCAGGGCGCACAATCTCCCGGGATATTGTGGATGCTCACACTGCCACATCTTCCTCCCTCTTTCCACAAGCACGTCCTCGTGCTCCCGCGCAGGGTGCCACAAACACTGCCACACTAATATCCGCGATAAACATCTGTTTAAGTACCGGAAGAGGTTATCTTTGCTTTCTGAATGTCCATATTGCTAGATATGCTGAGTTTTAGGGCGAAATCCTGGGGAATTTTGTCTAGAAATGCAATTACCTAACCGTGCGCGATCCCGCGGTGGCTAATCATTTTTTGGCAGCGAGTCAATTTATGGCACAACACCGGCTCGGGTTTCTCCTCCTCCTCCCTCTTTTCTTCTCCAACCTGTCGCTGGGCTGAGGCTCCATCACTTCCTAAATTGATTTTACTTGAACCTTCACTACCAAACAACTGTGAGATTTTAACACATGTGCCAGCATCAGCCTGAAGGGCCAGTTTCTTTTTTAGTCGAATTTTCTCCGCTCCTCCTTTCCGTTTTTTGTTCTCCATTTTGTTAAGCTCGTCTGTCTGTTTACTGAGATTCACAAACAACTGGCGGGTGCATCAGACCTCTGGCTATTGGTCCAGCCCAGAGTGTATTATTACCAATTGGCCAATCCACCAACTTTTACGAGGCGTCGCGTGGGGCGGCGCGGGCAAGTTGTCCGCAACAACTAGAGGCCAGGAAAAAAAAAAAACAAAAAAAAAACAGACACCGGCCCATAAAAGATGAAAGGGTCGGCCCAGCGGGCAGTTGCCCGCTATGCCCTATGGTCAGTCCAGCACTGGATGTGTTGCTTCCACAAGTACAGTGTGAGCAGTCAGGTCATGTCCGAGCGTACATAATTTCACTCTTGAGCTTTTCTCTGCACAGAGTTGACTCCAACAGTTAATGTAACAAATTTGTGGTGTCGAGCTACAACTACACCAAATTTCCATTGAGTTCTTGTCATTCTTTGTCTTGGCCAAGGTCAATTAGCAGCGGTGGCCTTGATTTGGGCCAACTCCAAAAGTTGATCAGTTGTTATCAAATAAACATAGCACCCCAAAAAAAAGAGTAAAAATATAACAAATACATGACAGATTTCTTTTAAACAGGCCCTCCATTTATCACAGAAACAGGTAGTTGTATTTTGCGAAACAACCCACTTTGATATACCGCCCAATATTTTTGCCTGATGTTTCATGTTTCAAGTGTTTT